TCAAACTTCTCGTGCCATTGCTTAGGCGCTTGTTTTAAACCATATAGCGATTTAACCAACTTACACACTTTGCTTTCTTGGCCCGGAACCACGAACCCTTCAGGTTGTTCCATATAGATTTCCTCATCTAGTTTGCCATTTAGGAAAGCGGTTTTAACGTCCATTTGATGAACTTCCAAATTCCGCAGCGCGGCTATAGCAAGTATCATTCTAATGGAGTTTATTCTCGTCACGGGAGAATACGTGTCGAAGTAATCAAGGCCCTCGCGTTGCCTGTAACCCTTGATTACAAGCCTAGCCTTATACTTCTCGATGGAACCATCGGGTTTCATCTTCCTTTTAAAGACCCACTTGGATCCTAAGGGTTTACTACCCGGAGGAAGATCAACAAGTTCCCAAGTGTGATTCTGTAAAATAGAATCCACTTCACTTTTAATAGCCTCTTTCCACATTGGTCCTTCTGTAGAAGTCACGGCTTCTCCGTACGTTCGAGACTCGTTTTCTATCAAACAAGATAGAAAATCGGGTTCATTTTCTAATAAACAAGTTAGAGTACTCGAATCGTACTCCAACAAGTAAGTTAGAAAATCAGGACCAAATGATTTTCCAACTCTCGCCCGCTTACTACGTCTCGGCTCGAGCTCGGGTTCTCTCTCGGATTCCCCACTATTATTATCCATAGCTTCGTCAAACGTTCGTTTTGACGTACTCGGTCCCTCATTGGACCTACAAGGAAATACATTTTCAAAGAAAGATGCATTCCTTGATTCTATTATCGTGTTCTCGTGTACGTCCGGATTATGGGACTCGTGTACTAAGAACCGATAAGCACTACTATTATGTGCATAACCAATAAAGATACAGTCCACCGTCTTAGGACGTATTTTTACTTTCTTAGGTGTTGGCACCAAAACTTTGGCAAGACACCCCCACACTTTCAGGTACTGGTAGGAAGGTTTCCTACCGTTCCACAGCTCATAAGGAGTCTTATCAAGCTTCTTGTGGGGTACCTTATTTAAAAGGTAATTACTTGTCAAAATAGCCTCACCCCACGCTTCTTGAGGTAGGCCCAAACTTATAAGCATCGCATTCATCATATCTTTCAATGTACGATTCTTTCGTTCGGCAACACCGTTCGATTGAGGTGAGTAAGGTGCAGTACGCTCGTGTATTATACCTACACTCGCACAAAAGTCACCAATAGGTGCTTCGTACTCACCACCTCGATCGCTTCTAACTTTTTTAATCTTACAATTAAGTTAGTTTTCAACTTCATTCTTATAAAGAATGAATTTTTTCAAGGCTTCGTCTTTGCTTTTAAGCAAATACACATAGCAATAACGTGTGCTATCGTCGATAAATGTGATAAAATATTTATTACCACCTCTCGTTTGTATCGATCTAAAATCGCACAAATCACTATGGATTAATTCTAGTGGTTCAGTTTCCCTTTCAACCGATTTGAAAGGTACTTTCGTTAATTTTGCCTCAACACAAATTTCACATTTGTTATTTGTGTTAATTTGAAAATTAGGAATATGGTCCATGTTAATTAATCTAAGTATAGAATTATAATTAACATGACCTAGTCTACCATGCCACAAATTGGAAGACTCAAGCAAGTAAACGGAAGTAACTTTGCTCTTATTCATGATAATAGGCATTACATTGAGCTTAAAAAGCCCATCAGTTACATAACCTTTGCCTACAAACATTCCTAACTTTGACAAAACAACCTTGTCTGACTCGAACACCATGCGAAAACCATGCTTGTTCAATAGTGAGCCAGACACCAGATTCTTCCTCAGCTCTGGAACATACAGCACGTTGTTCAACGTCAGTTCCTTCCCGGAAGTCATCTTCAGAACCACCTTGCCCACACTTTCCACAGCAGACTGAGCAGAGTTTCCCATCCAAACCTTCTCGCCCTCAACGGTCTCAAAGGTGTTGAGCATTTCTCGGTTGCAACACAAGTGCCTTGTTGCACCAGTGTCGATGAACCAGTCTCGTGGGTTAGAGTCCACGAGGTTCACCTCGGTCACCATAGCCGGAAGGCTAATCTCGACCTCCTTCTGATTGCTTTCCTCAACCATGTTGGCTTCAGAACTCTTGTTCTTCTTCTTTGGAACTTTGCACTTAGAGGACTTGTGGCCAGTCTTGCCACAATTGAAGCATTTTCCATGAAATTTCTTCTTGGTAATGCCTCCTTTCGGACCTAGCTTTTGCTTGTCCTTCTTGGAGCCTTTAGCATGCTCCACAACATTGGCTTTAGCGCCAACAGTAACAGAATTTCTGCCATCATTCGTCCTGCTCCCCTCCTCAATTCGGAGTCGCTGGATCAGGTCTTCCAGGTTCATTTCCTTTCGCTTATGCTTAAGGTAATTCTTGAAGTCCTTCCACCCTGGAGGCAGCAAGTGGATAACAGATCCTACTAGGAAGGCTTCACTCAACGTCATGCCTTCGTCACGGATTTCATCAAAGATTAGTTGTAAATCTTCAACCTGACTTAGCACGGTTTTGGAATCAACCATTTTGAAGTCAAGGAATCGGCCAACCACAAATTTCATTGCGCCGGCATCCTCACTTCGGTATTTATGATCCAAGGCTTCCCACAGCGCTTTCGCTGTGCCAATCTTGCGATATACATTGTATAACGCATCACATAATCCGTTCAGGATGTAGTTTCGGCATAGGAAGTCCGAATCTTTCCAATAGCCAACTGCCATCACGGATTGGGTATCATGTTCCCTTAATTCGGGAACCTTCTCGGTCAAGAATCTCGCCAAGCCGAGAGTTGCCAGGTAGAACAGCATCTTTTGCTGCCACCTCTTGAAGTTCGATCCAATACCGGTGAACTTCTCCGGTCTTTCGGCCGAACCACTCGGTACCGTAAGTACCCGAGTCATGGGAATATATCCCTCAGTGCTCCCACCATCTTGTGAACCAACGTTCATTGGTGTAGCTTGGGAATTAGCAACATTATTGCCATTCCCACCATTGTTGTTCTCAACAACATTCTCCTCGTCGAGAGCTGGCAAAGCTGGATTCTCCATTTCTTCTAGGAAATTAGAGATAAACAACCAACGGGAAACGGATATAAGGTTTTAAGATTGTTGGGTAATAAGGTTGAAAAATACCAAAAATAATAATCCTACGAAAAGATTAATATTATATGGGAAAATAGAAAATCTGGGAAGGAAAAGGTGGAGTGTTTGGATATAGGTTTAGCACGAGTTCGAACACGAAGTTCTTTTCCTTAAAACCTTATTTGCTACCTCCCACAGGTGCTAGGAGCGTTGTAGCCTAGGTTTCCCAGGATAAAACGTGCTACGATTCCTTGTTTAAGCACCTAAACAAGGAACCCGGCAAACAAAGCAAAGTAGTGAACACAAGTTGTTAAAGAAGAGAGTAGAAGCAGAGTTTTGAGAAGCTGAAAGCTACTGGAATTCCTTTCGTTTTCTGTACTGTATAAAATGCTTCTGCCCTACCTCTCTTTATATAGGGTTGTTGGAAGGGATAGCATTCAACATGGCCTTTAATTGGTATTAAACCAATTGTGTAACACCTGTAACGGTCACCCACTAAGTAGGATTAAACTCAGAATTTAAAATTGGAATTAAAACAGTATTAATTCCGTAACAGATGAGTTTAATTTGCACAACTGAACTTTCGGGTTTCAGACCGTTGGGGTGCAGATTCACACGAGAGCATACAGACCAGGCAACACGAGAGTACATCTCTCTGTAGCACGAGAGTAGGTGGTTGGAAAATGATACCGAAGTTTGGCATAACTTAGCCCGCAGGTGCCGGCGCACGCGAGCTCGGGCTTGAATCAAGCCTTTTCGGTCTCCTCTAGTTGGATTTTGATTTGCAACACCCCCCCCCCCCCCTCCCCCCGGCGCGAGAGAGCCTCTATGCTATACAATTCTATAAGCTTCAAAAGAGCTCATGTATATAAGGGGGGCAAATCTTGTTTCCAAACCAATGTGGGACAAAGTCCTCTATTTTCCTTCATTTCCCAACTCAAATGGGTCTACTTTGAGAATCAATATCTCATTCACCCATTATCCGTTTTGAGCGTACAATATATCAATCTCTTCGTCTTACTATGAAGAATTCGAATCCACTTTGACCCAACCCAAATCGAAAGTGGACCCCACTGATAATTGTACCACAAAATAGCCACTTAATATGCCATTTTATGTCATTTTAAGCCAATTTTTCCAACATCCAATACAAGCCTGTGATCGTTTTATGTTAAAAAGTCTTGGAGTGGAAAACCAAGTGCTCACAGCAAAAACCTTTGGTTCATCTAACGACGAGGACAAAAGATGTGTCATTTGCCTTTGGTTCATCCATCCATGCATGTCATTTTCCTCAGTCGCTACTCTTGTTAAGTCGACCGGAGGAGCAAAGAAAAATATGCAGGTGCTAATATAGGTGAAAAGGCAACATTGCCCTCACATTTAACGCTCTTTTGACACCAAACTTAACGGAGGATCACATGTGGTTATTTTTGAAATGATGGAGAACGTCTCGTGGTCGTTTAAAAATCGGATGACCACAGTTGGTATATGACTAATACTCGGAGGACCATTGGATGTATTAACTCGTGTATACAAAATGAAACTGAATAACAAAGTTACTTTTTGCGGAACAGCGCGAAACGAATACCGTTTCTTTTAATTAAACAAAACGATGTCAGAGGACCATTATGCACCGCGACGCACGATATAATTTGCCTGGACTTGAGAGCCCCGCAACGCTTTCAATTCGAAGTGTGCAGGTCGAATGAGCGGACGGGCCGACCTATCTTGAGTCTTGACACTCGTAGCCGAAGTGCACAAGCCATCATGAAATGCATCAATGCAGGGGCCGAAGATGGCATGGGGGCAGTGCCACTTTAAAAAATAATAATACGAGTACAATTTTATTTTTATTCATTTTCTTGTTTGTTTCTAACCATACACTACTCTTTCGCCTCTGTCCTCTCAGCAGCCATTTTTTGTTTTACATTGCTTCCTCAGCTCCTGCCTCCACGACCCAGCCAGCAGCTTCATCACTCCATCAGTCCATCAGAACTCTTCATCGAAGATTTGCAGATTCACGGCCCATTACTCCACGTCTCCACGCCTCCACCGACCACCGTCGTCCGGCTATCTCCTCCGTGGCTCCGTCCGTTCACCAGTCGTCCACCATTATAGATTTATAGCCTCAGGTTCGAACCAATCTTCATTATTCTTCAACTTTATTCTCTTAATTAGTTTGCCCTAAATCCCTAATTGGCCAATTCTCTAAATTTTCAATCTGAAATTGTGGGTTCTGGTCTTTTTTCTTTTTAAGATTTTGGTTTTGGTACATGACCTTGTGAGTTGTAACTGATTTCCCTTTCACCCCAATTTGATTATGTTCGTGTGTTCAAAGTTTTTGAATGATTTCGTAACAGTTGAAGTATTAGTGTATTCTGTAAGACTGTAACTCTGTGCTAGTTCATGTGTGTGATATGAATTCAATACGAAATTAGGATTCCAAAGTATTGATGCTTTTTTGCAGATTTTGATGAATTTTTTCGGCAGTGTGAGTGTGTGACCCTGATGATTTTGATGAATTTTATCGGCAGGGCAGTGTGAGTGTGTGACCCTGATGATTTTGATGTTTTGTTAATTGATTTTGTTAAGAATACATCATTTTGTCAACTAGTGTTAAAGATTAGAGACTGTCTAGTGTTTTATTTCCAGAAATTATGGTTTGCATGATTGCTTATGTTTATCAGTTCATTTGATATTTTGTATTTGAACATTTTTTAATTCATTTTACTTTTGCTTCTTCGCCCCCGCTCAAAGGAAATTCTGGCTCTGTCCCTGCATCAATGGTTGTGCACATCTAAAACCATGAAATGCCTTCTCCACCAATTAATTCCCCCCACTTTCCATTCTTCCGGTCTTGTTAAGCCTATCCATTCTCTCCCAACTTCTTTTCTTCTCTCTGTATGTAATTCTCTCCTCCTTTTTTCTCCATGTGTAAATTCTTGTGCAGCACTTTTCTCTCTATTGTTAATGGGTTTTTGTCTGTGTGTGGATTGCAGATCTGGAAATCGCGGGCTGGGTTCTGTGGGTTTGGTTCCAAATCTTGGGGTGGAGTGAGGGGAATGGCAACAACAGTGGATAGCAGTCTCTCCTACCTAAAGCAGCAAGAAGCTGCAGAAATCGATGAGTTGCTCATGGGTCCTCTTGGTTTCAGTGTCGATCAGCTTATGGTTTGTAAAAGATGGTTTTTTTTTTTTTTTCTTCTTTGGTTCGGGTTTTGTTCTTTCATGAGATTAACTTGTTTGATTTGTCTTATGATTTTCGTTGTGTTGTAGGAATTGGCTGGACTTAGTGTTGCCACTGCAGTTGCAGAGGTCAGTGGATTGTGTTTTTGTTCCTTTGATGCACTGCTAGAATATCACTTTTTAAAAGTAGATATTATTACTTTGTTTCCTCTGTTTTTTTGCCTACTGTGCTGCTTATAGTGCTTTAGTCTGACACATTTGGTTCTGTGCTATGCCGTTTGATAAATCTGGTAAAATCATTGATAACATATATTAGTTGTTGACTGAAATTACTGAATGAAGTGCCAAATGATTTCAGAGTTTGTTTTATTAATTAGTATTGGAATGTCAGCACTTATGACATGCGATATAAAGGAAGTTTCTTACTGAAATATTGTTTTAAAGTTTCAAACTCTTCCTCAAAAGATAAGTTTTCTACACAGTATAAATTGGCCTTGCCGTAAAGGTGGCAGAGAATTGTTGGATTAAGGGATGCTATAATAGCTGGGGCAAAGAAAGTCAATTGTTGGATTAAGGGATGCTATAATAGCTGGGGCAAAAAGACTTTCTTTTTAAGATGCTTTACACCTATTGTTTCTCATTAACAGGTCTATAAACCTAGTGAATACAGTCGAGTCCTTGCTGTTTGTGGTCCAGGAAATAATGGTGGTGATGGCCTTGTTGCGGCTCGTCATCTTTATCACTTTGGTTATAAGCCAGTTATTTGTTACCCAAAGCGTACTGCCAAACCTCTTTATAATGGTTTGGTGACTCAGGTATGGATGTGGCTCAAGTTGTAGGGGAGAATTTTTGTATATTGTATATATCTAATGCATGAATGCCTTTTGTAGCTTGAGTCACTGTCAATTCCTTTCCTGTCAATGGAAGATTTGCCAATGGACTTATCTGACAACTTTGACATTCTTGTAGATGCAATGTTTGGATTCTCATTCCATGGTAATCTCTCTCTCTTCTTGAGTTCTTCTGTTTCTCCTTACCCTGCAACCTTCATGTTAAAACTTTTCCAGGTACTCCAAGATCGCCTTTTGATGATCTAATTCAGAGACTGATAGCAGTGAAAAATAATGAACTCAGGCATAAGAAGTCACCAGCTATTGTCTCCGTTGATATTCCATCTGGATGGCACGTTGAAGAAGGAGATCTGAGTAGCGAGGGCATTAAACCTGACATGCTTGTGTGTGAAAATATAGAACTTACAACTTTCTTGAATCCTATCTTGGAGGATGATAACATCTGAAAGAAACATTCTATTTTGTAGGTTTCTTTAACTGCTCCGAAGCTGTGCGCTAAAAAGTTTTCTGGTCCACATCACTTTCTAGGTGGAAGATTTGTTCCACCGTCCATTGTGAACAAGTTTAAGCTCCAATTACCAGCATATCCTGGAACTTCAATGTGTGTTCGTATTGGAAAGCCTCCAAAAGTTGACATATCATCTTTGAGGGAGAACTACATTTCTCCTGAGTTGCTTGAGGAGCAGGTTGAGTCAGACCCCTTTAATCAGGTAAAGTTTATGCAAAAGGAAGTGGCTAATGATTGATATTACTTTTGAAGATTACCTAGGTTCTTTGATCATGCAGGGCATTCTAAATTTTATCTCATGTTTGTAGTTCATATATTGCTGAGAAAACAGTGTTTTTTTAAAGGCCAAAGCAAAACAAACAATTAACGGTTTACTTTTGAATTTGAACTCTGTTATTTTGTAGTTCCAAAAGTGGTTTGATGATGCAATGGCAGCAGGCTTGAAGGAACCAAATGCTATGGCCTTGTCCACAACTGGAAAAGATGGGAAGCCGTGAGTATCTGTCATTGGCTTTTCCTTTCATATCTGCTATATTACAATATTTATATGTGTTCATATGGCATCTCCCTCATCGTTTATTGTTTTGGGGAAAGAAACGAATTCTAGCTTGCCTTTCTCTACGAGTTGTGTTCTGACCAAGGATTGATTCTTGATTCAGAGATAAATTTTTGATTATTTCTTATCCCTCAGATTCCCTCAACATTGAGTATTGCTGTATGATGTGTTTGGATATGTATAGTATTATTACGTATTCATGCTTATTTTACATTCTCTTGTTTACTCTGTAGTTCTTCAAGAATGGTGTTGCTAAAGGGAGTTGACAAAGATCGCTTTGTTTGGTTAGTTATCCTTAATTTTTATTGTCCATACATATTCTCGTTTACTATTGTTCTGTTTTCTTGATTAGTCTTTTTGTCCAGGTACACCAATTATGCAAGTCGCAAGGCTCGGGACATATCTGAAAACCCTCATGCTGCACTTCTTTTTTACTGGGATGCTTTAAACCGCCAGGTAAAGCATTTTAAGCCCGTATTTTTGGGGATCAAAATATTATACAGAACTACACTTTGTTCATTATCGTTGGATAGATCAAACTCATGGAGTGGATGGTAAAATCTCATGCTTTGGCTTTTAGGTAAGAATAGAAGGATCTGTAGAAAAGGTTTCTGATGAGGAATCTGTGAAGTACTTCCATAGTCGTCCTCGTGGAAGTCAGATTGGCGCCATAGCTAGCAAGCAGGTTATTCAGATTCTCGTTTTTATTTGAATCTTACGTTCCCTATTTGTTACGTAAAAGGGTAAGGCTTATCTGTCAATGACGCCCTTCTTTTCGTTTTGTTAAATTAGAGTACAGTAATTCCCGGACGTCAAGTTCTCCACCATGAATACAAAGAGTTGGAGATGAAGTACTCTGACGGGTTAGTCATCTTTTATATGTGAAATGTCGGGTCCAATTATCATGCTTCTAGAATTGGTATTTGATCTTTTGCCCAATTACATACTCCATATTTTATTATATCCGAGTTGTTGGGCGGAGGCCAGTGAAAGGCCAAGTCCACCAATTGGTGGCTAGGGGGATTGTTGGGCAGAGGCCGGTGAAGGGTCAAGTCCAGCACCCTGTCTCTCGAAAATGTGAAATGTGGCGGTATATAAGGAAATAAAGTTGCGTCTTTGTTGTGAGCTATATTTCGTTCTATGCAGGAGTACGATTCCCAAACCAACACACTGGGGAGGATACATGCTGAAACCAGAATCGTTTGAATTTTGGCAAGGACAGCAATCTCGCTTGCATGATAGGTATGGTACTTCAATGACTCCGATCCTTTCGTGTCTCCTTGTGATTCTCGTTTAAGAGCACAAGTACGACTGAAGCATGTAGTTGTTGCATGTACACATTGCTTTAAAATGAAGCAGTGGGTGAAAATTTTTAGGGTAGCTAAAGATTCAGAAAAAACAATGATAGAGAAGTTTTGAGTAGGTACGACCCTTGCTTGCTGGGGAAATATTGGGATATAAAACTAAGAATCATTCTACAGCTCAAGAGTTTTATTGAGATTGCTACGAGTTTGCATGAAGAAAGATATCTCTAAAGTAGCAATAATTATCCTTGTATACAAACATGATTTTGATCGTGTTAAGATTACTAACGTAAGGAAATACTATTTACAGGTTACGCTATTGTCCAGAAGAGGTGGATGGAAAGCGAGTTTGGAGAATAGAGCGATTGGCTCCCTGACAAATGGCTTCCTTGTTATGATCATGTCATCTCTTATGTTCTCACTCACTGCCACAACCCCATTTTGCTCAAAACTTTACATTTTTTTTTTGAAAGGAAAACTTTACATTCTTGATTGTATGTTCAAACAAGAAGTTGATCCACAGAAATTGGTTATCAAGAACTTGATAGGGAAATACAAATGTACCAAATAAAGCAGAAAGATAATATTATTAAGGGTTCCTCTAAGTTGTCCATTTCTCCATAGCATGCATGCATACTCTTTCTCATAAATGGACATCCCCCACCCCACCCCCATATTCCTATTGCTGAAATATGCTTCTCTTGTAACTAGCATATGCTTCTACAACAATCTCCTTGGTTATACTTCTCTATCATTTGAAGGATATAGTGACTTGAGTTTCATGAACACTTTAGTTCTAGCTAATTTCTTTCCAAGGGCGTTCTTCCTCACTGACTTCAAACTCCATCCAAGTTAGTCTCATCCAATCTCCTTTTACCGCGTTCATAGGCATGGGGATTGCCAAATTTTTTAATTTTTTAGTATTATCTCTTTTGCATTCTTACAATCTCACAAATTGCCTTTTGCAATGGATCTAAGAGATGATAAAATTAAACCTCACAATCTTTTCTTTTACCTTATGTCCCACTTCTATTTGTTAGCCAGATTATTATTTTGTCACGTTTTTATATGTTGTTTTAATATTCTTTAGACTAGACTTAGTCTTATGTGGCTTTCCTATTAGATAGGATTTATTTGCGTAGACTTCATTAGCTATTTGTATTATGTTTTCGATCCTGTTGGAGTTTAATCAGAAATCATTTTATCTCATCTGGTATCAGTTAGACCAGGAAACTGTTTCTCTCTCTCCCACCATCCTTCCCGTAACCCTCTCCCTCAAACTCTACCGAATCACCACCATGTCAGCCTCCTCCTCCGAACAGTCTCGGCCAACGAGAATGCTACTTCGGCGTCGACTCCGAATCCACTCAGCGGTGCGCACCATTTCGTATCGCTAAAGTTGACGTACAGGAACTTTTTATTCTGGAGAACCCAGCTAGTTCCTTTTCTTCGTGGTCAAGACCTCATGGGGTATGTTGACGGTGAAACCCCATGCCCTCCAGCGATGATTGATGCCGCACCGGCCACTGGCGAGTCCACGACGTCCACAACCTCAGTTCCCAATCCGGCCTATAAGGCTTGGATTAAGCAAGATCAGACATTATTCTCTCTTCTCATCTCATCCCTTTCGGATGAGGTGATGCACCTTGCGGTGGGGCAGTCCACATCCAAGGCTGTTTGGGACTCCATCAACACGGCGCTGGCCAGCTCTACGCGTGCGAGGTGTCTCGGACTCCTCGGGCAGTTTCACGCCCTCAGGCAAGGCGGCAGCAGCACGGCTGAGTATCTCGGCCGAGCTCAGATGTTAGTAGAGGACCTTGCGCACGCTGGGCGTCCAATCTCGCTAGACGAACAGCACATGTTCGTTCTCCGGGGCTTGCGGCAGGAGTATCGCGCCATGGCATCGTCGCTGACTGCGGCTGGAACTCCGGTCACTATACCGCATATTGCAGATTATCTAAGGGCACAAGAGTTTCTACATGCTGAAGACTATCCGACGGCCCCAGAACATGCAAATCCGGCAGCCTTTTATGCAGGTCGGGGTCGCAACGGTGGTCGAAACAGTGCAGGAGGACAAAATTCAGGCCGCGGCAACTCCGGGCATCCGAGTCGCGGCAATGGCAGAGGAGGTGGTGGCCGTGGTCGAAACGGCAGAGGGGGTGGCAGTGGACCTCGCTGCCAGATCTGCAGAGCACAAGGGCATACCGCCCTTTACTGTTTTAAGCGGTATGCTCCGCAACCGAGTCCGCAAGCCAACATGGCAGTCCCGGGCGATGATGCGGCAACTAGCTATGGCGCCTCGGGTTGGTTTCCAGACACTGGGGCCACGGCACATGCCACACCGGATCCATCATTGATGTCACAATCCGACGAGTATAATGGTGGTGATGTCCTGCGCGTTGGTAATGGCGCAGGTTTGATGATCTCACGAATTGGACATGCTTCTATACCTTCCACGTCTAATGTTTCTAAATCTCTTAATCTTTCCAATGTGTTATATGTTCCTCAATTAAGTGTTCCGTTGTTATCTGTTTACCGTTTAACAAATGACAATTGTGTCTTCTTTGAGTTTCACAGAGATTGTTTCGTTGTGAAGGATTCGGTCACCCGGGAGGTTCTGCTTAAAGGTCCTACGGTTGGCGGGTTGTACAAGCTCCCTATTTATCAGTCTCACTTTGCGTTTCTTACATCTCGCACCACTCCGGTCGTCTGGCATCGCAGGTTGGGTCATCCCCATGCACATGTCCAGAATCAGGTCCTCAAGTTATGTCCAGTGTCACCAAATAAAACAAAGCCGGCCGAATTATGCTCATCTTGTCAGCTTGGAAAATCTGCTAGATTTCCTATTAATAGAGTTTCTTCTACTAGTACAAATGTGTTAGATTTAATTTTTAAGGACATATGGGGTCCGGCACATGTAATCTCTACTAGTGGATGCCGTTACTTTCTGCTTTTTGTAGACGATTTTTCGCGCTTTACGTGGTTTTACCCCTTACGGGTAAAATCCGATATATACAACTGTTTCGAGTCGTTTCGGGTCATGGTAGAACGCCAATTTTCGCGTTCTATCAACTGTGTTCAGTCTGACTTAGGCGGGGAATACCGCAAACTCCATCAAGTGTTCAAAAAGTTGGGCATTGTTCATCGCCAGTCTTGTGCGTATACGCACGAACAAAATGGCCGCGTTGAACGCAAAAACCGACACATAGTCGAAACAGGGTTAGCCCTTCTAGCCGAAGGCTGTGTCCCGTCACAATATTGGGACTACGCCTTTGAGACATCCACAAATTTAATCAACTACCTACCTACTCCCGTCTTGAACTATGAAAGTCCGTACAGTTGCCTATATAAAACCACACCGCCATACACTTTTCTACGAGTCTTCGGGTGTCGGTGTTTTCCCTATCTAAGGCCATATAATCGGCACAAGATGGAATACCGCTCGACACCCTGCGTCTTCCTAGGTTATCCTCCATCCTTTAGGGGTTATAGATGCATGGATCTAATAAGTGGGAAAGTCTATATTTGCCGTCATGTACGTTTTGACGAAACTGTTTTTCCTTTTTCAGAGTTGACTACACAGGAATCAGCTACGTCTATGACTCCTGCTTTACCTTGGGCGTCAAGCCCAGTTGTCACACAAACTGGGCCCACAGCCGCAGTTGACTTGGGCCGACCCCGGTCTCCGAGTCCAATACCTCTGGCCCAAGAGCCTGCCCCCTTAACTATTGAAGGCCCGGTACGGGTCAAAATTCGGAGAAAAAGGGCTGCACGGACCGAGCCTCAAGATCGAGGTCATACAATGAGGTTACGGCAATATGACTCGTGGTACTGGTGAAAGTTTTCAAGCTCTCATTGTGACGGCTGACCCCACTTGTTATTCACAAGCAGTCGGGCACCAAGAGTGGCGAGATGCAATGGACCAGGAGTTCAATGCGTTATTACATAACAATACTTGGACTCTAGTGGCTCCTAAACCGGACATGAATATTATTGGGTGCAAGTGGGTGTTCCGTACCAAACGGACCGCAGATGGCTCCGTGGAACGGTACAAGGCTCGCCTGGTTGTGAAGGGGTTCAACCAGGCGGCTGGCGAGGACTTCTTTGACACGGTTAGCCCCGTAGTCAAACCGACTACAGTCAGGATGCTGTTCTCTCTAGCTGTCTCACATAACTGGACTCTAAGGCAACTTGACGTCCACAACGCTTTTTTAAATGGGCACTTAGCAGAGACCGTGTATATGAAACAACCACCAGGGTATGAGGACCCGACTCATCCCGATCACGTGTGTCACTTACAGCGGTCTTTGTATGGACTCAAGCAAGCCCCACGAGCGTGGTTCAAAAGATTGCATGATTATTTACTCACTACAGGGGTTTTGGCATCTAAAACTGACGTCTCTCTTTTTCACTACTCAACTGGTGACTCGCGTGTTTACCTGCTGGTGTATGTAGACGATATCATAATGATGGGTAATGACCTTACGCTCATTACCTCCCTACTTCAGCGTCTATCCACGACCTTCAAGATACGTGATCTAGGCTCGCCTAGTTTCTTTCTCGGCATTGAGACAATACGCACTGCCGACGGTATTATGTTATCTCAACGCAGGTACATGAATGATCTGTTGACTCGGGCAGGTATGTTGGATTGTAAACCCTTGGACACACCAGCGTCGGTCACCCAGCCTATGTCATCTGCTGCTGTTCCGCATGATAATCCGACGCAGTACCGTCGAGTAGTTGGAGCTCTACAGTATTTGACTATTACGAGGCCGGATCTCTCATATTCAGTGAATCGTCTCTGTCAGTTTATGCACACGCCGACTACTGACCATTGGGGTTTGGTTAAAAGGGTCCTACGGTATATCAAGGGTACTCTGGATTATGGTCTTCGCATTACAGTATCCCACTCAGCGGCTATTCATGCCTACTCTGATTCTTATTGGGCAGGTTGTCCTCTTGATAGGAAAAGCACTGGAGGGTATGCGGTGTTCTTGGGTAAAAATTTAATCTCATGGCTTTCCAGGAAACAGCGTACAGTGGCCCGGTCGTCTACTGAAGCCGAGTACAAGGCCCTTGCCAATGTTGCTGCATAGGTCACTTGGGTTGTCTCGTTACTCAAGGAGCTTGGTCTGCATACCGGTGAGCCACCCACTCTATGGTGTGACAATTTGGGTGCCACCTACCTATGCGCGAACCCAGTTTTCCACGCCAGGACTAAGCATGTTGAAATCGATTATCACTTTGTTCGGGACAAGGTCGCCTCAGGAGACTTAGTGGTTAATTTTGTATCCACCAGGGATCAGCTTGCAGATATATTCACCAAGCCGCTGCCAGGACCTCGGTTTTCAGCTCTTCGGGACAAGCTCAATGTTGTTGCTCATCACCCTTGAGCTTGAGGGGGTGTGTTAGCCAGATTACTATTTTGTCACGTTTTTATATGTTGTTTTAATATTCTTTAGACTAGACTTAGTCTTATGTGGCTTTCCTATTAGATAGGATTTATTTGCGTAGACTTCATTAGCTATTTGTATTATGTTTCCGATCTTGTTGGAGTTTAATCATAAATCATTTTATCTCATCCTATTCAATTAGGACTTCAACCATTCAAACCAACAAATTAAGGATATATACGTGCATACTTTAGTCCGACAATAAACAAATTAAAGGCCATTTGGATGGGAATAAGAGTAAGCTTAGCTTAATGTGTTTAACATGAAAAAAAAAAAAAAAAAAAAAAAAAAAAAAAAAAAAAAAAGGTTTAAGCTCAACTTGATTATAACTAAACGGTAGTAATGAAGGTAACGGGGTGGAATATCGATATAGTAGTAGTGTGTGCTAAGGTGTGACTCTAAGCTCTCAAAATGGTGTGTCTCAATCTGATCTCTAGAAGCTTAAAAAAGTAAACATAAACTCAATACAAAGGCTATAGAAAAAGATGAAACAAAATTTAATTCAATTGATACTAAAATTGAACAAAAGTACCTTCAAAATTATCAAAATAAATTAATTAAGTAATCAAAACTTTTTGAAATCACCCAGATTATCCATCCCCACATTTATAACATGTACTAGTTTTTTACGCGCATTGCGCGATTGAGATAATGCCTAATATCTTTTTTAAATAAGTACTTTAAAGTATATCAAGGCAATATTAAATTAGAATTGTTTATGTATAGATAATTGAATGTTGAATTTGCGTATTTAAATAGGTAATTCTAAGGGTGTGTTTGGTTGGTGGGTTTTGCACATAGGAATGAGTATGAAAGTGATTGTTGTTTGGTTGATGGATTTTTAGAACACTACTATTAGTTTCGAATACCTCATCAATTGAAAAACCCATACCCAAATACAATAAGGGTTTCATTCCCTTGTTCATTCTCAAGAACTACTAATAGTAACCATTCCCATTCCACCCTACTACCAAACATGTTAAATACTTTCACCAAAACCCATTACCATTACCAAGTATTTGATACCCATTCCGATTCCGATTCTTATGTGCGAACCAAACACACCCTAAGTTTACAAATGCAAGATAATATAGTCAAGATTGATTATAATTGTCAATAAAATAATTGTATAAGTATGGTTGAAACCAAATACGGGACATAAGGGGGAGCAAATAAAAATTAGGGCATAAAATATTAAATATATACTAATATTGAAGAGCGAACTGCTGATTACCAAACAAGGACATTGCGAGGTAGTTTCCCACTTCAATTTGTTGTGTGATTTGAATACTCTTTTTTGTCAATAAATCCCCCAAGTAGTTAATATGATTGGCTTAATTTTTTTTTATTTTTTAAAACAATTATTATTATTATTATTATTATTATTATTATTATTATTATTATTATTATTATTATTATTATTAAATATATGTATACCCTTAGGTCATTTTACATGTTAATCTAAACAGCTAATTTTTTCAAATATCTTTTTACCAATCGTTGATATAATTCACTGGTCAAATTCACTAATATAATCCGCTAACGCTAACCGCTAACTACTGATTGTCAAACAAGGATATTGTGAGGTAATTCTCACTTTAATTTGTTGTGTGATTTGAATAGTCTCTTTGTCAACAAATCCCTTAGTTAATATGATTTCCTTTATTAATTATATATATTTTTTTAATTTTTTCATGGTATTAATAAAATACTTGGTAAATAAATATATAGCATTATTTTGTATTATCACTTTGATATTTAATTAAAAAAAAAATAGTGCACAAAAAAAGATAATAGATAATGTTGTGAATATAATCAATTGATGAATTTGAATGTAAAGAATTTTTACATTGAAGAAATATAAAGACAATATAAGTAATAAAATTATTTCTCTTAATTAATTTATTGATAATGATGATTTTTTTTAATAAAGACATTGTAGGGACAATGTAGCGGATATAATCAATTGATGAATTTGAATGTAAAGAATTTTTATATTGAAAAAAATAAATACAATATAACTAATGAAATTATTTCTCTTATTTAATTTATTAATAATGAATAATTTTTTTTGGAATAAAGACATTGTAGACACATAATTCTAAATTAAAGAAATGCTTATGTATTATTTTTTGTTGTAGCTACTAAATTATTATTTAATGAGAGTAAAATAGAGTACTAATTATGCCAACTTTGATTAGGATGAGGTTCGAATCTAAAACCTTTCTTATTGAAATTAATGAGTAAGTTAACGGTGAACTAACAGAAATTAACGGAAAAGATAATATTTAACGGAAAAGTTAACGGAAAATCATATTCATTAAGGATAAATTAGGAAATCTTAAGGAAAAATTAAAATCTGATCAATCTAAACCCTTCATTTGATTAAAAAATTTGACCGCCATTTTTTCTACTCATTATAGGCCTAACTCTCTTGGGATCTTATTAGTATAGTAGATAGTAGATTATGCAAGTTAATTTTAAGATTTGAGAATTTAGAATTTTAATTTAAGGGTAAAATTAAAGTAAAATAATTGTCATTTTAACAATAAAAATGGAAGAGTCAGCAAGCTTATAAGATGAGATATAAATTTTACAAAGGAGGTATGAGATGACATGTAATCACATTTGAATGAGTGAAGAAAAGTGAGATATGGAAAGGGTATAGTCATGTAATCAAATTTTTCTGTTTGGTTGAACCAGTTCTGCCAGAAACCTTTAAAAAAAAAAAAAAAAAAAAAAAAAAAAAAAAAAGGCTGAATATGGTGGAAAATGACATCCGTCAAATTTTGTTGGAAGTCATTTTGTTGAAGTTACAGAAGTTTAAAACTTCAACTTCCACAAGATATATCTTGAATAATATATCTGTCACTGGAGAAATAATTAAATTTTGAGTCAGTAACTGTATGCAAAATTATATACATATATATATATTTATATATCCCTTACGCATGAAAACATGCAAAGAATAAATATAAATAATATCCATATATGTAGTTCAATAATCTCAAGCATACAGCTACATATACCAAGCATGTTAAGTGTAATTTTGAAGCATATAGCTTCACAAAATAGAAGAGCATATTTTAAGCACGTTAAGTGTAGTTTTGAATAGGGGTGTCAAAGTGGGCCAAAGCCCGCGGGTTAGCCCGCACCCGCCCCGCAATGGGGCGGGTTAGGGCCGCAAGAAATTAGGCTCGCGAAAATGCGGGCCTAACGGGCATGATCCGCAGAGGACCAGAGCCAGCGCGGGCAAATCCACGCGGGTTGCGGGCCGGCCCACGGACCAGGCCATATTTAAAAAATAAATAAATTATACATATAACATCTTTTTTTAAAAAATCATATATATAATATCTTAATTCTTAGGCAATGTGTAGATCTAACTATCTAAGAGTACGCAGAAGGGGAGAAATCCAATAATTCAATAATCCTTCGCCAATTCTTAATTCAATAATTCCTAGAGTACGTAGTTCTTCAGTTCTCCCGTATCCATCCGCCTCCAACTCTATCAAATAATTACTAAAACTAAATCATCAATTCATACATATTTATGAATTATTAAATCGCCTCCAAGTCAAGCAAACATACATATTTATATATGTATTATACACAGACGGGAATTGTAGAGAGAAAATCTGAAGCCGAGAGAGAAATCGAGTGTGCTGTTGAACCCTAGCTAGCTTTGATCACCCTTCTACAGTTCTGCTGAACACACGGTATCGATCCAGGAGATTTGGGCGAGGTTTATGGATTTTATGGAAGTTTCCGGTGCCATAATTCAAGCGGTTTTAACATGTTTATGTACTATTTAATGTTTTTTTTTTTTAATTTAAGTGATGGCCCGCGGGCCAACCCGCAAACCCGCATGGAACGGGCTTGGGTTGTATAGTTCCAAGCCCGCGGGCTTCGAGGGCCGGCCTGCCAAAGCCCGCCAAATGAAAAGCCCGCGATGGGGCGGACCTAATGAGGCGGGTCGGCCCGTATTGACACCCCTAGTTTTGAAGCATATAGCTTCAAAATGCCCCAACACCTTACGCATGAAAATATCCAAACATGCATTAATACTCTCAAGCATATTAGCTATAACTCTCAAGCATATTAGCTATATATCACAAGCATATAGCTATATAAATTTCTCCCAGTATTTTAATTAACTTTCTACCAAACTAAAATAATATTTACAACTCTACAACTCCACAACTCCAAATATTATTTAAGTTTTCATGGTAGTTCATCTGAAACATTAATCTCCATTACTATATAAATTTCCAACATTCCTCCTCCATTTATATAGTAAAGATTAATACTTTACCAAGATAAATCCAAAACTCATGCATAAATTAAAGTGTCTTAGAGATTGAACTTTCACATAGTATTATATGCGTTACATTAATTCGGATTGCAGTGATGGACGAACCTTGAATCACGCAGTCACTTTGAAGAAACGTAGATATAACACACACAAGTTTTACAGTCATTACAACTCACTGTAACTTGACACTATTAAGGCCATGTGTCCGTATTCATTAATGAGCACATACCAAGTAAAGCCCAAACTTGTTTGAAGCGGCCACACTTCATGCTCACAGAGGCTAATCTTTTATATCATGCACTGCATCTTGCATTTTTTCAAAAGATCA